TAAGAATTATAATTATTTACTTTAATATCTATCTAATATTATGAATTAAATTTTAAATAATCTATCATTGTGCAAAAATTATCTTAGGGAATTTTTAATCACTAGAAAGGATCTTTGATACTATTTAGACGGGATCTTATATTTTAATTTGCCAATAAAATCATGATTCTTTATTTGACAGACATAAGAAAATTATAATAAATTCTTTGTAATTTCAAGTATATATTAAAATACTTTATCTTCATTTGATTTTGCCAACCAAATAATGGTGTGTAATTGTCAACAGTTAAATCCTATTTAAAGCATGACATAGAGCCTTAATATAAATCATATTTATTAAAATAAATATTATTTTTGAAAAAATCATTTTGAAGTTGAATTTTCAACTAAGTTCTGATGTTTTCTCAAAACTATTTATATTACATTATATTTCTATATCCATTTATTAAATTTTTTTTTAATAGAATTAGATATAATATTGATTAAAATTCCCTATAAAAGTAAAATCAAAAAGAGAAATTTTGATTAATTAAAATAACTTTTTGTAATAAATGTTTGAGTGTTAAGAATCAGATCATAATTAATAAGAGATAACATATGCTTGTTTAAATATGAATTGCTAAATAAAAAGAGCCTGTTGTATAATGTGTATTGAAAAACACAACTAACACAAAAATGATTTGAAAACAATAAATTAAATTACAAAATGGAAAAAAACAACAATCTAAAGTTATGAAATATATTCAAAAAAGATAACTTAGATTGTTGAAATAATGGGTTAAGCAGAAAAATACTTATCTAGTTTGGGCAGAAATCTAGAAACATCATTTGATGAAATCATGAATGAAGAGTTTGAATAATAAGTTAATAATTTATTAAGCATCCAATAATTATAAACAACATTTAATTAATTAACATCTAATTTAGAATCATTAATGGAACCTATTTCTTAAATATTTTCAAAAGTTGAAGAATCTTCAAAAGAAACATTTGTTAAAGTATAACCAATTGTTAATAAATCAAATGATAAATAATCAATTAAAGACACTGAATAAATAATATAAAAAGAGAAAAAAATTGATTAAATTGATTAAGTAAATTAAGAGATTAAGAAGAAGAAAAAAAATATTTAATCAATAAGCTATTTAGATTTAGTAGAAAAAACTATTAAATTAAGGAAGGGGAATGATTTTGATATTCATTAATACCCTATATATTACTAATAACAAATTGAAAAATTAGAAGAGTATAAGACAATTATTCTTATTGGAACTTAAAATTCAAAAAAGTAGAATTTAATTAATTTATTTGTAAATTATTATTATGGAGTTGAATTTTCTGATCCTTATAGGTTCGAAATTATTGATGATATTGATATAACTAAAGAAAAGTAAAATAATGAATATGAATAAATGAAAGTATATTATATTCCTCCATAAGATGGATAAACAGGACTTAGAATTATATATACACCAGATTATAGCGATGATTTATGTTATGATGATCAAAAAATATTTGATAAAATATTAAGTGTTATTTCTAATTCAGTTTCACTTAATTAAAATATCTTAATTGGATTTGTTATTCCATAATAAATATAAATAGGTACATTTTTCATGTTAGAATCTATTTTATCTAAATTTTCATTTAAGTTAATCAAAAATATTGTCTTTTTATTTCCAGATTCTACAGATGAATGTCCTAAATAAAAAGAAATATTGTAATCTCAAGAAGAAATAATTAATGGAATTCCATCTCCTATTTTCTAAATGATACCAAAAATGAATAATTTTTGGTATCTCAAATTTAATACTACAGCTTTATTTATAGAAAATAAAACCTAAGACAATTAAATTTCATGGGAAATTGGCAAGAATAATTTTTAATTGCTTCTTTAAAATTATTTATAAAATAAATTTGATTACAATAAACTATAAGTGATGATAAATAAGTATAATGAATTTATCAATATAAACTTTTCAGTATCTAAAAATTAATTGAACTAAAAGTTTTAGTGGTTGTATAAAAGAGACAATTTTTATGAAGAGTATGAAGAGAATATCTATAAGTAGTGGAAGGCCCTAGGTGCGAATTAGTATTATAAGGATAATACTTATTTTTATTCAGGAAAGTAGGATGAGGTAAAATAAAAAATGGAACGCTTAATGTAATATATATAGCAGTATTAAAAATTAATTCAGGAATAAAAACTCAAAATTGAAACATATGATAAAGAGTTTGAAGAGTTTTATGATCTGTTTAAGAATTTAGCAAATGTTATGTAATAAGATTATAATCCATGGCGATTATATTTCAAATTTCATGCTATATTAATTACTATAAATCGCTGTTAATGGAAATATTATGAACATTTAATTTAAAAAGAATAGAATTTAAAATTAGAAGGTTGGGAAAATAGAGTGAAACTATTAAATAAAACTAGTAAATTCTTTTAATACTCTGATGGTTATTCAGGTATGCTAAATTTAGATCAACGTATTAAGGAATGGTCTGATAAATATCTTACTCTGAAATCCAAATCATTCTATGTATATAGTTTTACGAAATATGGAATGAGTAGTGATTATTTATATTTGTATGACAAAGAAGGATAATCTAAGGAATTTTATTAATTAAAATCCTCTGAAACCATTAAATACAGAATATAATCTAATTGTTAAAGTTATTTCGATGAATTCACCCAGAAAATTTGGGAATATGTATTGAGTTGATTATTAAATAATTGTGATTTACAAAGCTATAATTTTTTTAATCCGTTTAATTTGAATGAAGTTCTGTTTTTTAATATATATTAAGATTTGCTATTGAGATATATATTTTAAACCATCATATCTTTCATATTCTTTGATTGTAATAAATTACTATCTCAAGCTATAAGATTAAAAGCATAGCATAAAATTCTTATAATATTAAGCTTTTATCATAATGTTTTATCAATAACCTAAATTAAGGTTAAAAAATATAAGGCAATACATAAATATTGAAAAATTAATGTGAAATGGTTGTCTATTTGAAATTTATTGCTTAACTTACATTACTAATAAATAATGATTGTTTTAAAAAAGATTTATGATATTAAGACCATAATGTTAATTGAAAATCTACTTATGATCTTTCAATAAAGGCTATTTATAAAAATAAATGGTAGAATTATAAGTTTATATTGATTTCTATATACACCTAATAGTAATAAAATAAATTTTAATTCAAAATGTTTTTCTTATGAATTATAAAGAGAGAGATTAATTTTGAATACAAATGGTAGGTATTTTATTGTCAAAATTTACAAAATTTCATTAGTTAATTATAACAAGGTTGTCAAATCTTTATAGATTGTCAAAATTAAATAAAATTATTACATAATCATTAAATTAAAAAAATATATTAAATTTTAATTTATTTCAATTTTATGAATTAATTAGATTTATATTATTATCACTAAGATAGTAAGCCATTATTGTAATAAGAATTAGTTTTAGAATATCAATTATACAAATGTAGTAGTTTACTTACCCTATTAAAATAGCATATGAATTTCTACTTTTTTAATCTTGAAGGTATGTTAGTTAAAATTTTATTTTATTACTTATTATTTCTAATTAAAAGGACATTCTTATAATTTATAATATTATTAAGTTGTCTTATATTCTATGATATCATAAGAATTTGGTACTTATTAATGCTATTATTCTAAATCAAAGCATCAAAATATTAGAGTCTATTATTTTGAAAAAGAAATGAAAGGTTGAAAACTTACTGATTCAAAAAGATAATTAAAGTAATTTATTGATCAATTTGAATTCATTTTTTAAGAATAAATTAAATATGATTATGAAATATACTTATTCATAATTGTGATTAATCAATTCTTTTTATCAATGCTATTCTATTATTAACCAGTATCAAATATTAATTAGATCTTATTACTTATATATTATTAAGTTGTTTGTCGGCATGAGAATATATAAATATTATATATTTAAATCCATATTTTTTAAGTTATAATTAAATTTGAAACAATCTAAATTTAAGTTGCAATTCAAATTTACTTTTTAAATTATTAGATAATAATATAGTTATATATTTATATTATTAAAAAAGTCTTTTTGGATCTTCATTATATAAAATAACTTAATATTAAAGAAGAACTATATGATTATACAAATAAAACAGTTCAATTTTGTAAATTTTATTAAAAGTTATTAATACTCAATATCTAAATATATTGATATTGATTGATTGATTTTTAAGGAAGGGAATTTAATATTATTTTAATAGAGATATCTCTGATTTTAATTAAAATTAGTAAATACTTATATATATTGTTAAATTATAGAATATTAGTAATCTCAGAATCTTAATTGACTCTATTGTGAAATTTAATGATCAACAATCTCTTATATTCTATACTCAATACTAAGCATTTTCAATGTCTTAATAATAAATGAAAAAATTATTAATATGGATAAATATAAAAATATGGCCTTATTAAATATCTAAAGTGTATCATCTTGAACATACTTCTTTAATGTCTTATTGATATCAATTGTGAAGACTTTATCGGTGAAAGGTTAATAAATCATATAATCTTTTTAAAAATGGACTTACTACCTATTATTAATTATGTTTAAAGATGAATATATAATATTATAAAGTATTTATGTGAGTACAAAAAATATAATATTTATTTAAGAGAGAGGAAAGAATACTTTTTGAAGAACATGAAAGTATTTTTTAAAAAAAGAATAATAATTTTAGAAAAATTGTTCAGGATTATTAATAAAACAAAAATTCTGATTGATATTTGACTAGCGAATACTTAGAATAATAGAAATTCAAATTATATGCTTTGAGCTTTAATATCTTATTTGATTCTAAAAATAATTTTTAATCCTAGTGAGAAATTTGATATTCAATTATGACAATAGTAGAAAACATAGAAAAATTAGATATCCTTAGTTAATTAAATTTTATATTTCAAAATATAAATACATCATAATATCTTACTCAAATTTAATATATATGCTACAATCAGATTTTTCCCTTTTTTACGACCAAATAAATAAACTTATAAACTTTAATCCCATCAAGAATTACCCAAATTATTTCATTTCAACATCCTTTCCTAAATTCTAATTAAATTGAATTACTATAATTTCATCATTAGTAATGATAAAACTTTTAATAATAATTAATTAATTAAGTAGAATCTTATCATTTATAAATAATTAGTTTTATATTCAATATTTGTGAATTGACCTACCAAATCAGCAATAGAGGTTTAAAATAATTAAATAATACTAATATTTAATCTAAAGTAAACATTACAAGAATCTTCCAAAGTTGTAAATAAAGGCATAAGTATTAATAAATGTCTAACTATTTATTCTATTTTCAGCTATATATCATTTAGAAAAATTATAAAATAATTAAATTTAACATCGCCTATTTTATCTACTCTTTATCCTCTTTTAAGGCTTATAAATTTTAATAAATAATCTTTAAAAATGGTTTACCTTATCTTTAGTAAGACTATATTATTCAAAGCATTCCTGTTTATTAAAGTGTATTTTAAAATTTCAAATTTGATATATATGATATGTTGAATTTATTGGACACTTACATTCATAAAATTATTTGTTTTAATTTAACTTTATTTACTTACTTAATGATTATAGTGTTCAAATGTTTTAAATTGAATCTATTTAGAAATGGTATTTTTTATGATGCTGGAGAGTATTACAAATTGTTGAATGAGAAATCTTTTCATTCGAAGGGCTGATATATATCTAAAATAATATCATAGATATTCGAATTTCATGTCTGACAATGTCCATTATAATTAATAAAAATTAAATATTTAATATATATCAAAAGCAGAAATGCATAGTGATTAAATTCAAATAGAAAAACTTTAGAGAAAAAGATAGCTTCTAAACGGCTTTATGATGTGTGTTATGATCTTAATTATCCCTAAACTAATGAAATACAAGAATATAGAGGATTAGGGAACATATAACTGTAATAAATTATTACCATTAGAAAATCATTTAGATAATATTAGCAATGGCTGCGATGATAGGTCATTGTAGATAAATTGTAAATATAAGATTTTCTTTTATTACATTATTTAAAGATTCTCCAAGTTTTCCAATATTAAAAAACTTACATAGCAAATACAATTTACTTTTAATGAAACCATTATTAATAAATATTAATTTTTTAAAAGATATATTGATTAAAAATACTAATAATAATAAAGACATTCTTCTTAGAATAATTATACTTATGGAACAATTAATGGCAATTAGAATTTTTTATGATAAATCTATATAATACATTCCTTTATAAATTAAAGAAGTTAATATTCAAAAAAAAATACCTTAATCATCTTATTAATGTGTATTTTACTTTTTTAATAAAATTATATAGTTTTTCTTGTAAATATTAGAAATATTAATAAGTAACTCTATAATGAATTTTAATTTTAATTTATTAATATCATAATGCCAATTAATCAAGTATTTTCAAATTCATAATTCTAATATTCTAATATTTTTATACAAAAAACATCCCATTTATATTTATGAGAGATTGATTTTTGTTGAAAAATGATTTAATTTATATATATTTTATTTAATATGATACAGATTAAAATTCCAAATAAAATTGGGGAGCATGTGATACTTATAAGACAATCACCAAAACGATGATACTATAGTAAATACAAGTATATGTATCTCATAAAAACATCTAAAAATCAATTACATAAATTAATAAGATTCAACAAACTATTACACTTTTGGACTCTATTCTTAACAAAATATATATATATATATCTTTTCTTTGACTTAATATCTACGAGTGAGACAACATAGATATAGAAAAGATTGGGTTCTTTCACAAATAATTTTATTTACTAGAAAATTAATAATGGACTACCAGCCAATAAGTTAGTTATTAGTAGTACAGAAAAAAGGATTTGATATGTAATTCATAGACTATTTGGAGTATATAATTCTTTTCATGGAGTAGATCCTATGAAATTTCTTCAAGAAAAACAATAACAAGATGGATTAAGAAACTGTAGCAGAATAACTTAAGGTAATGAGGCTGAAATTTTTTAACCTCTTATTAAGAAAAAAGGAATTATAGACAACTTTGTCATAAAGTAAGAATGATGTTAGTAAATACAAAAAACTTGTGAGGTAGTATAATTTTAATAGAATCTCAAAGGGGGGATTAAGTAAAAATAATAGAAGGCTAATGGGATCCTCAGTCAGTCTTTATTAAATGCCTAGATGAATAAAACTCCCAATAGAAGTTATTAAATAATTCTATGATTTCTGTAGAATCTAAATCTGCCCTTTCAGCTGATTCAATAGTCCAGATGAAAAAATTATCAACTATTTAGAATACTTATGTTTATGATGATGAGGTCATAAATATCTAAATATGTGAGATACTTTTTGGTTAATTTGTCTAAGTTGAGAATGGAAATAGTTAATGCCTTAGCTTTAAACTAAGTTACCTAGAAGACTTAAATATCTTTAAATACCTTGGGTTATATTGCCTATTTCCTAGCCCTTGAAAATTCTAACTAGAACACCTCCATGTAGAAAGAGAAGTTAAACCAATAGTTTTCTTCTTTTTTAGATTGTTTAGGTTCAAGAGCCTATTTAGATTTAATATCAGACTCTAGATTGTGGAAAGAGATAAAAGATGTGAGTCTATTTTAAATCAAATTTAATTTAATGATTAAATATTGTCAACTTATTCTAAATCTATTAACAAGCACAACTATAATTTAACTTAATGATTATTTTTTTCTTTTTTATATATTATTTGTTGTTTTAACCTATACTTATTAAAATTCATCAATTTGAAATCTATACTTAAAATATGATATTTATTTATTGTAAATGTTAAATGTTTTGATAAATCTTTGGAGTTTAGATTTACAAAAGTCCAAGAAAAGAGCTATGGGATTACAATTAGAGATAATTGCTTGAACCTTAAATTCGAAGCCTTCGATTTTTTTAATTTTTATCTCTCTATTTGAAAATTCTAGAATATTCATGATTAATTTTATCATGACAGATTCTTAAATTTACACCATAATCCTCAAATCTTTGAGAATCCTCAGGTGGCCAACTTTAGTGAACATTAGCATGGTGGCACAATTCCGTGCAACCAAGTTAACTCAGTTTATCTTGAGAAAAGTTCATAACTTAGGATCCTTGCTATCCCTATACTCATCATATCTAATTTCTCACTTTATTTGCCCATAAGCTACTTCTTAGATAGTAAGCTCAAAAATCATAACTCCTCTATAGCTGTATACAGATATTTGGCCTCATCACCGAATTTATAATCACATTCCGTTGCCTTCTGCTCATATCAAATCAGTAGATCAGCAGATAGAAGTGCAAATTAGGAGCCTCTTCCCATTTCTAATAGGATTAAATAGAGATGAATATTTCCTCTCCTAATATTGTGACATGGCCAACTTTAAATTTTTAATGTTATTTTTTAATCTTTGGTATTACCAATTTTAATTTAACTTTTAATTATGCTTTAAATATTATGGCCTAATGTAATAATTAAAATTTTCCCATTTATCTATATATTGTAAGAAACACTACTCTTTAAATATAGAGAAAAATAAAATATAAAGATTAAGAGCAAATCACTTAAATGAGTTAATAATTTATTTAAAGATGTTTCAAATAAGAATGATAGAAAATGAGAAGATTTTCAATACAATATGAAATCTAAATCTTTAATCAAATTAAAAACTTTCATGTGAGAAATGCCTTTGGTATTTTTAATCAGATGCCTAGATAATAAAATTAAAGAAAATAAGAAGAAATCCTCCAACATTTTAGAAAATCTCAAAAAAATTAACATAACATATAGAGGTTAAACATATATCAAAATAAAAAGAATGAACTATAAATTTATAATTCATAAGTTGATTGCATTATGAATTTAGATTATTTTCAGAGTTAAATTTTATAATTATTAAATAATGATCACATCTCATAGATCAAATGAAAATTTCCAATTATTAAATGATAATTGGAACACAAAAATTAGTTTTAAACTAGAAATATTTAAATCATATGACTAATTTTAATTACTAAAAAGAGATGTTGAACAATCTAATCAAATTATCTTCTTAACAGTAAAACAGAAATACAAGGGGTACCTATTTTATTGTTACTATTTTATCCTTTTTAATGTGATTTTATTTTACAGATAATAATTCTTATATTATATAGTCTGGAAACTAAATTTAAATCAAGTTCTATCTTGAATTTTTTTTAAATTTGAACAAATAATTATACTTTTCTAACATTGTATGACCCTAGAATTATTTTTACTTAACATATTAACAATAATATTTAAGACTTTTAAGAGAAGTTCAAGAATAATTGATTTAACATATTGATTGTTATTCCATTCATCTTTATTTGATAATTATTCACAGTTTCACATATATTTATTTATTTGAATCAAAAATTAAATTCTATTTTTGTTCTTCAAATATTTAATATATTCTAAAAGTCTTATCTATTCTATTTTTATAATACCAGAATTTTCAAGATGATCCATATATATGGGGATGAAATAAAAATTAGAGGGTCAGCTTCTAAATGGATTAGAAAAGTTGATTTTATTTTGATCTAATTAACCATCCTTTAGATAAAATGGTAATATTCCTGATAACTCCAATTTCAAATTCTTCATATTTATAGATTTTAGAAATCAATTAAATCTAATTTATTAGAGAAAATTCTCTAAAAAGTCATTATAAAATTAATTTTTGATAAAATAATGTAGAGATAAGAGATAATGTTCATTAATGTTGATATTATTAAGTATTTTAACTTAAAAGCTTTCAAGTAGTATTATAATATATGGGTTTTATAAGATCCATAATTTTTACAATAATGCTAATCAATGATCTTTAATTTTTATATTATACAATTTTCCTCATTAACTAATGAAATTTTTGGGTCATTTTAATTGAATAACATAATTAAATAATATAATTGAAACAATAAACCAAGTATTTATGAACTAAAAATAATTTTATAACCCAAAAATCCCTTAAATTTTAAATTGTTAATAATTTTATAATTTTTTAATATTTAAATTAATTTATTAAACTTGATTAAAAACATTTTCAGCTTATTAATTTGTCTATACAAGAAAAAGGAAATGTATTTGTAATTATAATTTTTAATTTTCTAAATGGCCTAATTTCTATTTTGTAAAAATATGTGAAATTTTCATTTCTTATTACTACTTTTAGTTTTAAATATGATGAGATATAAAGGAATTATATTTAAACACTAAAATTTTGATGTAAAACTTCAATCTTTTTTGATTATTACTTATATAAGAATATATTATTCTCTATAAGTTCAGAGACATAACAAAATAAGTTATTGAAAAATTTGATCATTTTGCTTTTATCCATATTAAAAAATAATACTCTTTTTTGGAAATGAGCCTCAAAAATAATTAGATTAATGATGTATGGATATATTTTAATATTAACAGGAAAATAGTTTTAATTGTATAATCTTAATTATAGTAAATGCGATTGATTCAAAACAAAGATATATCATTTTTTTGTGGAAAAAAAAGAAATATTTATGAAGGTTATGCATAATTTATATAAACGTATAAACATGAATAGGCATTAAGACTTTGGTAATATGAATATTTATTCACTTATGATATACTTGATTAAATTTTAAATGTCATCAAGTTTTGGAGTCTAAATCTGTGAATAAAGTTGAACCTATTTTTTATGTCCTTCAGCTTTTAGAGAATTATAAAATAGAATTATTAAAATAAGAAAATTAAATATTAATATTGAAATTTTATACTTATTAACAATGATAACATTAAATTATAAATGAATTTATTTCCATTCTACTATTTGTATTCCTATAATTATTATTATTATTTATAATATCGCCGATAGTTATTTTAAGTTAGAGGCTTTTACATTTTCTAATTCTCTTTAACTGGTTCAGGTTTAGATTTGGATATCAATTTGTTAATATTTCTAATATTAATATAAATTATTATCTTGAATTCATTAAATTTAGCTGAAACTTAATAAATTTAAGTTGTGAATCTGACTGCTTTTTCTTCTATAGTTGATATATAATTTAAAAAAATTATTTCATTTGCAACTACTTATCTTTCCTCTGGTGTGATATGAACTAATTATTTTTCTTATATTATTTAATAGGTGTGATTACTTCATAAATAACAAAAGATTCATCAGTAGAAGTAGATTATATCCTTATTGAATCTTTTAGTCTGAGTATTGAATGACATAAGTCCAATAAATATTTAATATCTAAATTCTTTAACTTTAAAATCTGGTCTATTTAATTAGGAATAGACAACATTGGCTTACAATTTATTTTTTTTTAATGAATTTCTTAAACAAATCAATCTTAATTTTTTTTAATTTCACACTCTTAATGAAACAGAAATAACATTTTAGATTAACGGTTGAAGGAGTTCCTTCTAATTAAAAAAATCTATTATAAAGTACTACTAAGATTTTGATATTTGTTGAATATTCCTAGTGATTTAGATTTTATGGATGTAGATAAAATTTATTTAAAAAAATTATAAATAAAAATTTCATAAAATAGCTTTGAAAGTTTTAGGCACAGGATCATGAAAGAGAATAATTTCAGTGATTATCAAATTAATCCTTTGATTTAGTCTTTTAAACTTAAATATTATCTATACATACTCTTATTGGATAATAGTCGCAATATTCATTTTTTTTATTTAGTGACTTAAACTGCCATCATTCACAAACATTAGATATTGATTAACTAAAGATTTTTCCAATAATCTTTAAACATTTAAACCTGATATTGCACCTCCTAAAAATGAAATTTCAAATTCTAAATTAATTTAATAAATTTTTTATTATTATTGAATTTAATTAAATACTTATTATGTAATTTTCTCCTTTTATTAAATTACTAAAGACATCTTTCCCCCCCAATAGCCTAAATAATAATAATATTAATAATCGAATAATATCTTCATTTAATCAGGTGTTGATCTCAAACACAAATATTTAGCAAAAATATTAAGAATTTTATAAGAGATGTTTAACATCGTCATCTAGCTCAACTGAAGGTTCATTTGACATAAAATAATAAGCCCCACAAAACTTCAAAAAAGGAATCTTGTCATAGATTACATTTGATAATTTGATTTTGTGATACAGATTGAGGTATCTGAATTCATACTTACACTTCAGATTAGTTTAATATTTAGTGAACTAAGCCACTGAATAATTATTCCAGATCTTGTTAACTTTGAAATTTACATCCAGTAAGTACTATATGGGCAAAGGATTCAGAATGTTTTGTACTAAACAGAACTAGTTAACCAATTATGGATGGAACAATATAAATGCTTTAGCAGCCTCTCAAAGGTTCTCATCAAAAGTTAAAATGGTACACCATTTAATATAGATAAGATTCATAAATTCTTCTTCTTCGCAAGTATCAGGGGACTTCTACCCATCAAGAAGCTTTTTTATCAGTAAAAGTTTGGTATTAATAAACTGAGGTATTCTAAGAGAAGATGTCTTTAAATTAGTTATTGATATCACTGAATTAGGTCTCAATTTCCTAAATCATATTTAAAGCTAACTTAAAAAAATTGATTTCATTCTTTTTATCCCATTACTCTATTAATTATTGAATTATATTTGTCATAGAAGGAATCTTAATATTTTAGCTATATCCATATTAGACTCTCAATAGCCTAAATTAATAGGAGCCTCTGAATTAGAAGTAAATATCTTTTCTATATTTTTTTAAGCTCAAAATAATCTTAATTTTCCTCTTTTTTGTTAAATTACTTCCTAATTGCAATTTTAATCGTGTAGAAAATATGTGGAATATTAAGCAATCATTATCTCTTGAACCTAAAATTCTGTCATTCACCTAAATATTAACTTAAGCCTTTTTCTTATAGATTTAATCTACAAATGCTGAAAAATTTAAATATCCTACACTTAGTAATTATTTGTTGGAAAAAGTAACAGAATATATAATAAATAAAATTATTTAATTCACAAGTCCCTTTTTTAGTTATTCTATAGTATAGATACTGCTTAAAAATTAAGAGAAAAAGCTTGAAAAAAATATTCTTGATTTTACAATATTTTTTCATTTTTTGAGGCCAGAATAAACAAAATATGGGTTTTAAATTAAGTCAATCAATAGATGATTTGGAAATACATTATTTATTTTAATGATATACATCTTTAATTGAAAATAATTTCTTATCCTTAGATATCTAAAAAATAGTGATATAAGAGCTAAGTCTTTATTCAATTTTATTTTGTGGAAAGATATAAAATTTAGTAAATCTTCATAAGAAAACTAGGGAGTAGATTTTAAATACTTTTTATATATTCTTCATCATTAATAATAGGAGAATATAAATGAAAGGGCATTTACTTAAATTAAAGGGTAAATATGATTTTAGCTTAGAAAAATAGTCCTGAATTGATAAAACATTTTAAAAATAATTCAGAACAACAAAATTACATGTCAATTTAGAAAAGAAAATTATTAATGTTTAATTTAATAATTCAGTCGCTTAAAATTGTATAAGATTTTTATATTCTGTAATTTTAATGATATTTCTATGTTTTAATTATTTCAGTCTTTTAATTCTTATTTTTTTGTTATTCAATTTCATAATTACTTCATATTAACTTTTTAATAAAAATCCAAACATATTGATTTTCTTTCAGATTTCAATCTACAATAAATTATTTATCTCATAAATTTTATATAAAATTAAAAAAAAAATACTACTAAAAATTAATTAATTTGTTTATATAATTGATAATTACATTAATTATAAGTAAAGATTTGCATTAATTTTTCATATTTTATTTTTTGCTTTTGATAAATAATTTTTCTTAATACCAAGTCATTCATAACTCTTTATCATTAATTTATGTATTTTTTTTTAAATCCTAGGTTCCAAGCAAATATAAATTCATAGATTCTTCACATTTATGTAACAAAATGTGAATAAGATTTCAGCATTAGAGCAATAGTTCAATATATATTTTTTAGATGCCTTACTATTTAATAAAATTGTTTGAATATTTCCTAAATCTCAAAGAAAACTCAAAGTTCAATATCTTTCTATAAAAAAACGAATACAAATTTTAATTTAAAGCATAAGCTTGATCAATCTTTAATTATTCATTTTTTGATTCATTTTAAGATTAACTTAAGAAATTCAAGTTAATGTCATAGTCCCTTATTCTACTCTTCACCTTGTATGTCTTAGTTATCACTTTTGCTGTCCCTCTCAATTCTAGTATCAAACTTAGTATGTTTATAGATCATACCTACTCTAACATAAAGATCTGATCTCAGCTAGAATCACTTACTTTAGATATTGAAGCCTTACACAAAGTTTACAGTCACTTTTCTTTGCCTTTTATTCTTACTTAGTTTTACCGAAAATTGGTCAAGATTTGCAATCTGGGGTCTTAGTAAAACGAATATATTGAGGAGACATAGTTCCTATCACCTTCATCATTGAACAGGCTATAAGGATAATAATTAAATTCCAAAAAGGAAATTTGGTAATTTTATTTTTTTCTGTTCATTAAAAAAGTAATTATCCTATTAATCTCATTATATTTATTATAAAAATCTAAAATTGAAAAATACTTATTTAAATAATAAAATTTCATTTGTAAATAATTTTTACACTAATTATAATTATTTTGAAATATATAGTATGACATAGTAGACATCTTCGTTGAATACATTAACCAATCTATATAAGAAGAGTTCATATGAAAAGGATACACAAGCAAATCTTTTAAAATACTGACTCTTGATTAACACTTTTCTCATCTTCTAACAGTTATTATGAACCTTCTTTTCACTGAATATATCACGAAAACTCTAACAGTATTTTTTTGTATTAGAATTAGAAAAACTAATCTCAAAATATTTTTCTATACTATTGTACATTTAGTTGAAACATGAGTACATTCAAATTCACTTACAACCATTCCTTAAGTGAATGTGTCGCAAGGTCATTTCCTTTTTCCTCATACTCCTGGCATCTCTATCATACTTCAAAGAGCTTGCGGAGCAGCTTCTCCAACAGGATTCGAGTTTCTTATATAGTAATATCTCTTTTCGAAACCTCCTATTGAACCATCAAGTTGGAGTGTATGAGCTTATATTGTTAGATAAACTCAATTGAAATGCAGGCTAATTAGCTGTTATAACTTTTCAGCCTCTATTGTTCAATGCAAAGACTTCTTTCCAATTCAATTTGATCACCAAAAAAAATATAATTAAATGTATAATATCGACTCTAAAAATTATTTTATAAATTGTCTACCATATTCGATAACATTTGATAGCATTATTATTTTATTAATGTGTTAATCTGGAATTCCATATTCGATGTTTATAGGACTTAATATGATTGAAATTATCAATAATTTAAAATGATTTATTTTATTTTTTTAAATAATCCGGTCTCAAATTAGCTCAAGGGAAGCCATATTAAAGGATGGAAGGGTCTGGCTAGAGGGAAACCCTAATAATTGGCAAGTCTGAAACTCTGTAAGTCCACTCTAACTTGGTAGGAGAGTAATGAGGTCTTATCCTCTTTATAATAAAGAATATGAAGTTAGAATGAATCAAAGTCTGTCAAAATCAAAAAATTTGATGAATACTGAATAATGTCAAATAATCAGATTATGAAAAAAATATTAGTTGCCAAAGAAGTCCTAAACCACAATATAAAACTGTCATATTCAAGTTAGATGTAAAATCATGGAGTCAAGATGATTGAGAATATAGAATAATAATAATTGAAATTATAAGATCTATTTCAATAAGTTGATAATAATTAAAACAATAAATTTGGAAATGTGTGTTTGTAAAGAAAAATGAGATTACAAATACTGTTTTAGGTCTGATTATTTTTGTGATGAAAGTCTATCTGTATAACTTAAATAACTTTATTCTGGACTGGAAGGGTAATTAACATACTACTATAAAATGATATCATACTTTATAATAAATTAAAGGTCAATTATATTACCACTAAGGTTTGTCTATGTAAGAATGATTTTAATTGGATTATGTTATTTTTCCTATAATTATTCTGGCTTCAAAATCCAAACATTATTTTTATTAACTTTACTGAACATTAATATATCAATAGAATTTATTTATAATATTTTTGCAATATATTGAATTAAACAAGATGATCAAAATCAGTATGAGTAAAAACAAAACATTATTAATAACTTTTTTAGTATATCATAAATAATCAAATATAGTTTCAATCTAAAAATATTATAATTAATATATGTTTATTATTAT